TGCTGCTGCTGCTGCTGCTGCTGCTGCTGCTGCTGCTGTTGCTGCTGCTGCTGCTGCTGCTGCTGCTGTTGCTGCTGCTGCTGCTGCTGCTGCTGCCGCTGCTGCTGCTGTCCCTCTTCTTGCTGGTTCAGTAATTTCCCTCTGCAAACGACTGTCAGTTTGGCTGAAATTACCAGGCGAGGACACGAACATTCACATCATATGAATTTATCAATAAGATATCATTCTAAATGCTGTTAATAATTTCCCTTTTATGAGATTTTTACAGCACAAATAAACTGCCTACAACACTCACTCTCACTGTATGAGGATAACGGTGAAATTTGGGCCGGAACTAAGTGTCAGTCTTAAAACCTCTCCACATCTATCGCTCAAAGGATGATGGAGGATTTAATTTGGAGTCAGTGCGGGCACTTTAACCAATAACAGCCTATCGATGATTATCTCAACTGAGAATTACATAAGTTTTGAATGCAAGCCAGTACTAATTCATCACCACACCCCGCAGCAGAGTAAAATATTTAAAATACAGCACTATACTAATACTGTGTTAAAAAAAATGACGAAAAACTGACTGCTCCTGGCTCGACCATGTTTCCGGATGTATCTTCTCAGCTATCTAAAAGTTTATTACTCAATTTACTCCATCAAAAGCACAACAAAAATGGAACTAGGATCAGCAAGTGCGCACACACGACCAGTACTGGGGAATGATTTTCTTTTTAGATCCGCGAAAACACCCAGCTATCAATCTTTCACGCCTATACAGGCCGAAATAACTCCAAAAGAAAAGGAAGCCACAAATAAGGAATTTTTTTGCTTTCATGGGCTGAACAGATCGAACATCGAAAATTATGTATTGATTCACTTGCATACTTGACACCCACAGTCACGGGGTAAATGCGCACTAGTGCCAGCCTAGAGGATTCGTCTTCAGACCACTCAAATTTGCAGTTATTTAGATGACTGCAGTGTATCAAAATATGAATAAACAGCGATGCGCACCAAAGTAGTCGATGCAATCATGCGTTCTGAGCAGTTCCGTGCAGCGGACGTTTGCTTCTAAGAATTCGCACTTCCATAAATCTGGTATGTGCAAAAGGTGTTTATTATCTAGTTCCTAGACTGCGAAATTCCCCACTGAAAATCTCATAAGCCTATACGTGAAACACAGGCACACGTGAGCAGTGGATTTAAGTTTGCAGGACTGCAAATGAATAGAAAGAATTTTAACTATCCTGCTTGGCTTCAGAACTAAAAATTCCCCATGTGGAATTTTACACGCCCGTGCGTGAGACTTAAGTGGGCACAAAAGCTGAATTTTAAATTCCAGGATTACGCTTCAACGGGAAGTATCATCCCAAGTTTCCAGTTTTCTACCCTATCTGGATTCCAAGTCAGAAGATTCACCAAAAGTTGCACGCAATCGCATGTGAGATCAAACAGTACGCAGAAGCAAAATTGGAGTTTCTGAAGTCTCGTATGGGCACGAAATATCCTCCAGAATTTCATTTTCTTTGCTTTGCTGGTTCTCAAATTTGCGATTTTCCAGTCAAAACCTTCATACGGTCGAAATCGAGACCGGAGAGAATATGAAAGCTGAATTTAAATTTGCGGGGTCAGATGTGGGCAGAGAACATTTTTCTAAAATTTCAGTTTCCTAACCTTCGTGATTTTCAAGTTGAAAACAGAAAAAACGCATTCGGACATATACATGTTCAAATATATATGTATATGTACATATATGTACACAAATATGCATACATATATACACATATATATGCATATATGTGTATATATATGAATATATATACATACACATATATATATATATATGTATACATATATATATATATATATATACATGCACAAGCAATCATTCTCACAAAAACACACATACATAGACAGAGTTGTGAAAACATGCGTTTTTATTAACTGATGCAATTTAAAAAACACGCAAAATACGTACGCACAAATCTACATTCAGAGCACGGTGCTGATAAGTTCCAGTTTCAGTAACACTGGAAAATGCATGCTGATAATGGGTAAGCGGCAAAGGCATACCATGTTTCCATCGACAATTTTGAATGCGAGGTGATGCGGCGGAGCGAATTCGTTATCTCCCGTTGCATAAATCAGTAAGCGATGATCATTTTCATGACAACAGCATAGACAGCAAGCTGCATAGGTGATCCTTCTGGCATTACTCACTTCTTCCTCTTCAGCTGCCAAATGCCAGTTCTTACAGCTGCTGCATTCGGGCTTCTCCCAGCTGCTACTGATCCCCTCAATTCGCCTCCTCATTTCATCCCGTCGCTCATCCTCACTTAATCCAATGTCGCTCACCAACTCATTCGCTTTGGAAGTTAACGTCTGTAAAAGTGCATCAACTAATAAAAGTTTCACCGTTTTTCAAGCTCAGCATCCTACCATCACGATGCGCCTTCGTTCATCAATGCAACTAGCAACAGTCACCACAGCTGCTCTGAAGAAAACGGCACAGCCCAGTGGTCAGCCTATTCATGATCTGAAAAATCATTTCCCAACACCCGCACCTTATCGGAAGAAATGCTACCCGTACTACAATGACGAGCGGGTTTTTGAATCATACGAACAACAATCCGAAAATCCGTTGTTGGCAAAATTTTCAACCTTTCGGACCTTATCCGCTTAAAACTGAGGCTCTCCCCTGCCCACCAGCATCTTCTTCAATCTTTTGCAGAAAACTTGTTTAAAACTAATGCCTAATACTCCCACAGAGAGACAAAAAAACATTAACAGCGCTGAAAAACTCAATAAATAGCAAGCGCACCAGACTAGCCGGTGCGATCATGCGTTTTGTGCAATTCAGCCCATCGAACGATTGCCTA